GGCCGAGTGGCTGCATGGTGTTTAGTTGCTGGCTAGAGTTAAACCACGACATTTTCTTAAGCTGTTTCTCTAACATTTTTTCACAGTCGTTGCTGGTCTGGTACTGTGCATCCTTAAAACAGTTCCTTGCAAGTTTGTGTTAGAGTTTATTTGAAGTGGAGGTTCTTAGTGATATGATGTTCCTTTTTTTATATACTGGTCAGCAATAATATCATGTTAACATTTACAAGATTAGTTGTATTTTTAATAATATTTCATATTAGTTTCTATAGTAAGCAAAGAAGCATTCCTTCTTTGTGGAAGTCCTATGTGTTGTAGACTAGTGAGTTCTGATCAAACTGGGAGATGTAATTTCTCTCCCGGTGCAAAAATGCTTAAATGTCAAAGAAGGAAAAAAAAAATGTCAGTCAAGAAAATGCATGCTATGTGTCATCTGGCCATGGGGAAAAAATATTTAATAGTGACTGTAAAGGGAATATCTCAATATGTTACTTGGAAGCATTTTTAAATAACTTTTAAATTTTATTTTAAAAAATTTTTTATAAGTGTATTTATTTTTAAATAAAGTTATTTTAAATAGCTGTGAGAGTTACATTATAGAAGATACGCAAATTTGTACAACCTTCTTCTGCTGTTCATAATGGGGAGTCCATGAAATGGAAATACACAGAACCCACAAGCTGGGGAGGAACACTAGGTGGGTGTATTTGGTCCTCTGGAAGAATATCCTGACTGATCAAACCCCACTGTGCCAGCGATGCAGAACGTACGGTGTTTGGGGATAGTGCTAGCTGCAGTGGCTGTTGGTTTTGAACGTGCTGTCCAGTTACCCTGTGATTGGTCTTGGTGGTGCATATACAAAGTGAAGTTATCCCAAGCCTTCCCCTCACTTTCTTTTCTTCCAACAGATAATTGTAGGAGTTCTTCTGCTCTACTATCTTCTTGGAATCAGTGCCTTAATTGGAGCAGCAGTAATCATAGTCCTTGCGCCTGTTCAGTACTTTGTAGCAACAAAACTCTCACAGGCCCAGAGAAGCACATTGGTAAGTGTCTTCAAACTTGTACATGATACAAATACCACTTCAGGTAATTATGCATTGGTCTGTGTTTGGAATTACAAAGCTGACCATGGATATTGACCAAGAACTGGTTCTCAAACATTGGTAATGTTCGAGAACATCAAGTTCAAGAATGTGAAAACGTGATAAGCGTAAGCAGTAAAGATGCAGTTATAGGGGTTTATATTTTTCAACAAGTATGTGTTTCCCTAAGAGCAAAAAAACTTAACATCTTTCTAACTTGCAAATGTAAATGGTCAGTAGTCATTGACTAAAATGGCTTTGTGCAGTCAGATGGTGCACAAATAAATGAATTGTGCAGGGCAAGCTGTCCAAGGGGAAAGGAAGTAGGAATGCTGCAGTCAAACTTAGACCCCAGTTACATCATAGCTGTGATTTATTTAAATAAACTATGGACAGTCTTAACTCCTACAGCATGCTCCTCAACTGGGGAGCTTAGTGGTCTGCTCAGTCACAAGCTGTTCCTTGGTCCCTCACTTGGCTTGTCTATAATTTGAATCACCTGCATCACTGCTGTGAAAGTTACCTTGGTTCACTGGAATTACCATGCCCAGCTGCTCTGAACCTTCCCCCCACTTTCAGTGACTGTTGCGCTGCCAAGGAAGCCATATGATCCTGTAATGGAGCCAGACAGCTTGCTGAAATCTCTTCTACCACAAATCATGTGCAGTAATGAGAGTATTTTGTGCACCTTCCTGTGCGAAAAGTAATGCCTTCACATCAACTATATTCAACACAACACCTTCACATCAACACCTTTCTAGAAATGTAGACAGCATTCATCCTCGTAGCATCCAAGCAGGCAGTCAGCATCACCTAGAAATTCCTGCAGACGGGAGCAGCACATTTTATGCTAGAAATGTCTCTCCTGTGCAACGTAGTGCAGTGCAAAGATCCTTGAGCTAGCCTGAAAACTGGAAGCAGCATAACTTCCAGTTGTGCTTTACTGGGCGTATAGCTTTACTAGTGTATTATTGTGTCGGAGCCAGCTGGCCCTACTCAGAGTCAAGGTTCCCTACAGGATCACAGCTTCTTGCTAATGTGGCATTGCTGCTTTGAAGCCTGGCACCGTTGTTTCCATCTCATGTTGATTGGGCAGAGCAGTGTGCCCAGTCGTAGCTTGTCTGCGCATTCTGATCTCCTCTGTGTGTTGTCAGTGTGCCTGTTGAAAATCCAGCCAGTGTGCTGGGCAGTTGAAGTCACGAGAGGCTGCCTTGCAAGTGATCAGAAAGCTGACAGAAGAGTAAAATTTTCAGTATAAGCTATATGATTTAGGAGTGCAAACCAATGACCTTTTCACTTGAGCTCTAGGGAAGCTCACCTTTGTGGAAAAACAACAACAAAACATCTGAATGGAGAGAACTAGTAAAGTATAGCTGACTGATTACAAGGGGCTGCATAAGATTTTTGTGTGATCCTTATATTTAGGGGACAGGTGCTTTAATTATACTCTTTAAGTAAATGTGTACGTAACTGTTGCAGGAGTACTCCAATGAGAGACTGAAGAAGACAAATGAGATGCTTCGAGGTATTAAGCTCCTTAAACTCTATGCTTGGGAACACATCTTTCACAGCAGTGTAGAGGAAACCAGACAAAAAGAAATGACTAGCCTCAAGTCTTTTGCCCTTTATACCTCCATATCCAGTAAGTCTCTTCCTTCATTCTAATCCACTGTTCGCCTGAAGTGCTACTGCATTATTAGTTACTAATGAGTTTACCATTTCTCTGTTGAGATTGTTTCAGTTGCTTTAGGCTCTGATCCATACTCCTCACTTTCCATTTAGTCAGACTTTCCATTTAATTCAGTAGAATTTTGCCTGTATGGGAAACATGCCTAAAAGAGAAAGTCAAGACTAATGCTTCATAGCATTAACTTTTCTGCAGAAAAGCTTTTAAGGGACAAGAGTTTCACAGGCTACCTTCAGCCAGCAATATTCTCCTCTATAACATAACACTCAGGAAGAAGCCTTTGTTGATGTTTGTGGGGTTTTTTTTTCCTCCTGCATTTTGCACAATGTAGTGTATCATAATATGTGACAGGAATTGTCTTTGCATTGAAGCTCCAACAGATGGTACTTATTCTTTCTTACTCAAAATTTGCATTTCTTATAAAAATAGGTGATTCTTAAAATCATTTCTATATCCTGGAAAGGAAAAATATGAGAATCCTGGCAATTTCATCATTCCGTATCCAGATTCTTTTGTCTCATGTTATCTTTCAAGCTGCTTTAAGGCATTTATCATCCTTTTAAAAAGACCTAGGGCCAATTGAACTCTGTATTTGATGAGATCATACGCAATACCTATATAATTGCTACTGTAATACTTCAGAAATAATTAGTAAAGTCATACTGAAGAATGCTGTTCATATAACCTGTAAGATACTAATGAAATGGAAATTTTAGTGAGAAGTATTCCAATGCCACAAGCGACCTGTACAAAGGTCTAGACTAATAAGGAAGACTACTCCTTAGGAAAAGAACTTCTACTCTGGTTAGTATTATTTGATTTCATTTGCCCAAGAGACGTGCAGCTGACTTTCTTCCCTGCCAAATGATCACATAGGTAATGCACTCTGAGGGAAAGATCCCGATCCCAGTGAATTTAACTGACATTAAGTTGAGGTTTTCCTTGACTTCTGAGATCAGAATTTCTCTCTGGGGATCCTGAGCTTTCTGTGCCTTGAGACTAGTTTCCATGTTGACATAAAACAGAATTTAGCTGGAGTAGATTGTGTGACCGGAAACTCCATCCTACACCCGGATCAACACAGACGGGCTCCCAGTGTTTGCACTGCTTCGTGTGGCATTGAAATCTATTTATAGTCAGAGCCACAGGTTCAGCTGTTGGACTGAAGGAGCTGTGGAGGCTTCTCTGGTTTTAAATTCTCACGGTATCATTTGTAACAGCTAGGAAAAGGTGTATTCATCCCAAGAGTACTGACTATTCTGTAAAGAAATAGTGACATAAATAAGAACACATATTATTAAAACCAATTCTAAATATTTACTGATACTTCTTGAAACATTCAGTGTTTACATTTGCATTCTTGTTTTGTATTATGTGTGATATTTATGTATATGTAAGACATAGTAGATCAGTTTCTCAGCTGGGGTAAACCAGTGCAGCTTTTTTATGTTGTTGTTGCATATCATTTTGCCTTAATAAAGGGTTCCTATAGTTTCAACCTAGGAGTTCCTTACACCCTCTGTCTTCATCAGAAATTACACTGATTTATACAAACTTGCACTTTAGCAGACTAAAAAGGGAACATAAATATAGGAGAACTTGTCTTTTTTCTTACCGTAAGTATAATTAGAATGACAGGTATTTTTTATATATATATATATCAAAGAATCAAAGCTGGGTTGCAAAGT